CAAAACAACTAAGAAGGCACTGAAGACTTTTGAAATACACCAGTATAATTCCGTAAGACTCATATATCTCTAAAAAAATATAGAGTGTTTAAAGTATTTAAATTATTCTAAGGATATCTTCTTCTTGTACATTCTAAAAATCTCCTTATAAATATTAAGATATATTTTTTATATATTTTTATATAACATTTTAGAGATTGAATGTATAACATTGAATTGAATTAATCCCAACTGTCTATTAAGGATGTGAAAACTTTTTGAAAGAAGAAAGAGGCTTATAAATACTCTCTCACTACTCATTTTTAATCACAAAAAAAAATAAAGCTTTTAAATTTATTTACTTAAGCTCTCTACTCTCTACTTCTGTATTAAGTTCTTTAAGTCACTTTGTTTACATTGCAGGGTTCAACTGATTTAGCTGAAATCAAGATTTTGATCAAATTAAAGTAGGCACAATTCAAAAAAAAGAAAGTTTCAAAGCCCTGACACTAAGGCCAGCACACAGTTTTTGTCTAACCTAACATATTTTTACTCCAATGATTCAATTAAGACATCAAATTTTGTCAATGAAATATTGCGTTAAAAAAAAAGTCTTGCAAGACTTAAATTTTGGATAACTATTTTTTAGGTTAAAAAGCATTTTAATTAAAGTTAATGTTAAAAATGATTTTATTCTAAATTTTATAAAAAGATCAAAATCTACTAAAAACTAACATAAATAGCACTATTATAATACACTGCGTTCTTCCTATAACAAAGAATCATGACTGGCACAGTAATGTTAATGATGAATACGATTGAAAAGTACATGAAAGCAACTAAGTTAATTTCTCATAGTTGATTCAATTTCCATTAAAATTTAATACTTATACTTCAAAGTGAGCTAAACCAAATAATTTTCAGTACATAAAGTAAGATATGATTTTCCTTTTGAAAAAAACAACATTAAAAAGCTTTTATATATATATATATATATATAATGATAAAATAAATATGGTGGATGAAATGTCTGTCGAGGGAATGATGGTGAAATTCATTTGTTTATAGTAAAACCTTTGACATCTCAACCACCTTTTCAGAAATTATGGTAGGATCATGTGTGTGTATGCTTGTGTTCTGTCTAAGGCTATAATTCGTGTTGTTGACAAAAATGTTCTACTTTTTGTTTAACTTTTTTTGACTTACACACAAATTAATTAAATATTATAGTAATGTGTAATCACGGACTTATCAATCAAGTCTAGAGCTGTAGTCTGTTAACAAAATTGAGTGTAATATGGAATTTGGATCCTCCTATGTTGAAAATTTGACATCTTCTTGAAATATGTATGGTTTGTTAGTTTTATTATTTTCTTGTTCCGTAAGGAAAAATTCTTGAATTTTAAGCACGACTTAGTTTTGTTTGATTTGAAGGGAATGAACTAAAATTTTTAGTGAATTTAATTTAAAAAATAGAGAAGTGGGGTTGAAATGTTTTAATTAATTTTTCTTATTATTTTAATTTAGATCTTCACTTTATTTTTACAACCCTACTTATGTATTTTTTTTAAAAAAAAATTGAGTTTATTAGACTTTTTCCTTCGTTTCACTTCTCTGCAGCCAAGGTGGGGTAAAAGTTATACCTTCTTATATATTTGTCAGCGAAGCTAACTATATGCAAGTTTGGTAGTATTTTTGTATTGCTTATAGTTGTCCTTTAATTAGGTAATTTTATTTGAGACATATTTAACATTAAATATGAGCACATTTTTTGACAAAAATTTAAATCTTAATTTATCATATTATAAAAGACTAGCTTTTTCTTTGAGACCCAACCTCCATTAATAACTCTAGAGCATGGGCGGAACATATGCACCCCTCAACCAGAAAAAAATAACATGCATAGAATATGAGTTCTGATATTTTGTACCTTGTACCTTTTTTTTTTTTATACTTTGCATTCTTTTATTTTAATATTTTAAAATTTCAACCCATTTTAATCTTATTTTTTATAGCCTAGGTCTAAAATTTAATTTTTTAACTCAAAGCTTAGTAAATATTAATCTATAATTTCAATATACCTCAATATCAATATTATTTATTAATTATTTAAAAAATAGAAAAAAATCTAATTTGATCAAACTAGAGTCAAGTAAAATTCACCCCAAATGTTAGTTAGAGACTAGTAAAAAAAAAAAAACAATCAAAAATGAAGATTCAGACTCAAAAATAAATTAGTTGAATGTCTTTTTTGTCAGTTCATTGTACTTGTAAGGTTAAATTAAAAAATAAAAGAAAAAAAAAGAAATAGTATATTTGGGGGAGATAAAATTTTTTTTATTATGTCAAAAATCCTGGATCTACTACTGCCCCATAAACTTAGGACTTGGTTTTGTCATTGCTCTAGAAGTATTATCTTTACTAAAAAAATATAGTGCACTAAGGTTAGTCCCTTTCTAAACCATTAGAGCAAATCAAACGATGAGATTGAAGAAGCAAAAAACTATTTTTAATAGGCAAGAATCTGTTTTTTTAATTTTTTTCCCTCCCTTATCATGTGTGTCATTGCTCACAATCGGATGCGTAGAATCTCCACGCTACCAAGGGATTAATTCCTAGCTAGTTATAAAATATTAAGAGTATAGTAAGTAAAGTTACAAAATTTACATATTTTATTTTTAATTTTTTTCAAAATGAGAGGACGCGGCCCTATTACTAGTCAAACTCAAGTATTGCTTAATCTAACGGATGGTAATTTTTTCAAAAACTTTTTTCCGCATTCATATAGATTTAAACCCATATGAATAGTAAGTTTTATTAGAAATTATAATTTTTAGATCTCATATCCGATAGTGATATTTCTTAATGTTGATTGAATATATTTAATATTTTTGGCCAAAGATTGATTATATTTAGTCTGTTCCCGCAACATTATCGTGAAGGCAGCAATTATCCTGATTAGTGATTAGTAAAACTTATTAGTTAAAAACAAATAATATATATATATATATATATATATATATAAGTTGTAGAAGAAGGATGGGAAAGAAAAGTGTAAAGATATTTGATAATAGTAATAGGGAAGCCCGATGTACACATGGGGAAGGGAATCACGTGGAAAAGAGAATTGAATGTCATTCTCACCAAAAGGACATAACTATAAGATGCCCCTAGTGGGTAAAATAGACTTCCAATTCAGAAACAAACAAACTTCTTTCCTCAAAATTCAAACTTGAATTGGTTATTCCCTTTCCTTTCCTTTTTTTTACCATGACGTAGAGCACCCGGTATTTTAGGCTTGTCGCATGTCAAGTTAAAGGAATTTTAACATGGACCAAACTAATTTATATTGAACTAGGATAGGATTTTTTTAAAATGAAAGCTCTATCACCAATAATATTATATTTTCAAAGTTCAAATTTAAAAACTTGATTAAGCTAGTATAACCTTTTATTAGTTGAATCAAACTTCTGGTGTTCTTTTTCCTTTTCTTTTATTTTATGACTCTCCTACGTACATTCCCCAAACACAAATTCTATTTCTCAATGTTCTCACATCACTTACCATTATTTCATAACTAAAAAATAAATAAGGATGAATTAAGTATTTCCCCTAGAGGAGCTCACTTCTTTACCTTTTCAATCCGTAGTCAGTTGCTTTTACTTTCCTCGGTTATAAAAAAATAATTAAGTATTTCCACTCAAATAATGCAAATTAGATGTCCAAGTGACATATAAAGGAGAGACTTCAAACCCCAAAAAAAGGGACATATAAAGGAGTGACTTGAAAAGCTTGGTCTATGAAAATAGGTGGTAAAGTTCATAAAAGGTTTGCCCACAAAATGATTGTTATGATGTGCGTGTTATGCGCGTATATTAGTGGTATTGACTAGTTCAATTGGTCCATGATCAAATTTCTTTTAAGGTGTTTTTCCATTTTGTTTAGATTGAACCTGTTATTAGTTATTGATTTTCTAGTCCAATTGGTTAATCCACTCTTCTTCTTTATTTAATCATTAATGTATATGATAAAAACATTTAAGTCAATTAGATAATTTTGAGGGATAATATAACACTGTTAGTCCTCAAATTTTCTCTTAATTATCAATTTAATTTATGAATTTTGACTCGGTATTATTCAATCATATAATTTTTTGAATTAAGGTATTATAAGAAATGAGTTATAGTAAGTCAAAAAATTATAAAAGATTAAGTTGTTCTGAGTCAATGACCTACAAAGATCAAGTTATTCCAAATCAAAGTTTATAATTTGAATCATTGAAAAACATTTAGGGACTAAAAAGTTACACTTACCCATAATTTTAAATTTCAACATTTAGTTTTGAAAAAAAATAATACACAGTAAATTGCTAGATCTAAATTTAAAATCCAGAAATACATGAACACCACCACATAGGCACACAGATTAGTATGGCGGTTTTCTCTGTGGTTTTGGCAGGACGCCTGTGCAGGTGCGGACTTTTATTCATTCTTTTTGAATTGGTGAAGATGGGAATGCGAAAAATGTTTTTTTAAAAAATTAATTCAAGAGAGTTCTTTCCTTCTAATTAACCATTTCTATTTGCATTCTGTAATAAATCTAACTCACAAAAAAAAAAAAATCTAAGTTGAGAAAATTATGAAAAGACACTGTACATATGAAAGAGTATTAGACATGATTGATTTGATCTACATCATTTTTATGATTCAGTGTGTCTCAGAATTGACAATTATAGTTTCCTTCAAGGTGTTGTTAGTTTATAGTTTAACCAAAATGCGTCAATGTGTCGTTAAGGCATAAAGTAGAAACCAACAAAACAGGAAACTCCATGTTATATCTGAAGCAATCATGTTGTATCAGAACCTGATTTTAATTACTGAACCCTAGATTTCAATCACAGAAATTATAATTATTTTTTTAAAAAAAGGAGTTTGAATTATTTGGTTGGTGGGACTGGAACAAGCATGTTGATGATCATATATAGCGTGTATTCAATAGTGGGTATCAGAAGATAACGTTTTTCTAGGGACATCTACAAACACGATCCACTTTTTCTCTTTGGTTCTGTACATAACATTTCATTCTCTTTGGAATTCTATGGCATATCCACACTTGTCTTTTCTCTGAAACTTAATAAATTTTCCTCCACAACCTCAAAAAAGCCTGCAAAAGTAGTTAACCCCACTAGTTTGAAATCTTTCCCGATCTTCATCTCATCAACTTTACCAATCTTCTGCACTACTTATAACAGTAAGAGTGAAATTATGAGTCGTTAATCTCATGTACAGCTGTATGTTTTCTATATCATTCCCTTTTCACATGCATGACTATAGCGAATCCACTTTAGTTTCCAAAGGTCTTATATGGTAAAGAAGTTGACATTGTGGCATGATAACATGACTCTATCTTTTAAAGATCGATGCTTCATGGTATATCTTTGTATCAGTTAAGCAAAAAAGATAAAGCGCTTAGAATCCTCACCCACACAATCACAGAACGAGAGAGAGAGAGAGAGAGAGAGAGAGAATAAGTACCTGGGCCAGCCAATGGAGAAACACATTCAGCTATGAAAATTCCAGTTTTTGCTTCCTTCAAGCTTCACTTCCATTGAAGATTGAGTCTGCAAGTGGCCATAGAAGAAGGAACCTAAGCATGGAAGTTCAGAGATATCTTCTTGTTTTCATCTTTCATGCAAGTCTTGCTTCCCTCATTTTCCCCTTTGTTTCCTCATCCCAAGAACACCAACAAATTATAAGCAGCCATTCAAGAAACAAAGACAACAGCTTCAAGGTACTCCATTCTTGTTCTTGATACGAACTATTACAGAACTGCAGAATTTGCAGTCATGTCATGTCTGATTCATAGTATAGTAGGACTCAATTCTTGAAGTATGAGTGTTTCACTGATTTTTTTAATTATTCCTGAAGAGATTCTTTATAATTATCTTTTTCTTTTAATCTAACTTCTGTTGGTAATTGTTTTGTGAAGATGAATCCCAGGTTGCTGTATGAAATCAAAGTACACGGTTTTCTGCTGTGGGCGTCAATGGGGTTCTTGATGCCTGTTGGCATAATTGCCATCAGACTTTCAATCAGAGAGAAGAATCAAAGAAGGAAAAAAATTATATTCTATGTTCATGCAGTTTTGCAGGCAAGTATATTATCTCATTCTGTGTTAGTGGAAAAGAACAAACTAAAAGAATCTTCTACGGCTTCATGTTTGTTAAATAGATTCAATTGTTTCAGCAATTAACTTCTAATGATGGTGAAAGAAAGAGTGTCAAAGATTCCAGTCCCCCCCCCTTTCCCCCTTATTTTCCAAATTGGTCTGAAGTTTTTAAGTTCCCAATTAATTGTTGACTTGAAGAATTTTAAGAAGGACAATATGAGTGCTTTGAGGATAAGAGAAGACCTCTAAGAAACTATGTTGTAATAAATTATTATTTGTTCTTACTGATTTTTATAGCCCTCAATAATTTAAATTTTATGTTTCATTTTATTTAAATTTAATTAGATTAATTTTTAGTCTATCTGTCAAAAGTAAAACAGAACAATCCAGCCTTAATGATAAAGGTTTGGTTAAATTGGATTAATGTAATGAAAAACAATGGATTCATTTTGACACCTTTAATCTCAGCTCAAAGGATGAGAGGTAAGTATTCTGACGTGGCAATGAGCATTATATTCATTCCTTTTAGATCGTCTAAATATGACTTACATGGTTTAGATTTTAAATTTTTATTTATTGATAAATCATTATTATCTTTTAAGTGACAGTAAAAAGAATTACGTCTGCATTCTACTTATTTTAAAATAAAAACATATCAAATTTTGTTTGAATTCTTATTTAAAAATCTAAACTTTTTATATTCAGCAGCACATTGCAGTTCTTGTTGCCACAGCAGGAGCAATAATGTCCATAAAAAGTTTCAACAACTTATTCAACAATTCTCATCAGAGAATAGGAGTAGCATTATATGGTATTATCTGGCTGCAGCTTCTTCTTGGTATTTTTAGACCTCCAAGGTATGTCCTGCAATTTTCTTGTTATCCATTATGTTATCACTTAATCATCATTATTCTACCAACAAGCATGCAGCTCAACTGATAAGAGGTTATTCTAACTAATGATTTGGGCTTGTTTTCTTCCCGAGCTCGACCCAAATTAATAGGAATCTGATGTTATTTTAGATGTCAGATGGTTTGATACCTAAGATTATCATTATTCTTTGCTAATCATCCTTATTGCTTCTGGACAGTTCCAACTTTCTGTTAATGTTACAGGGGATCCAAAAGAAGAATTGTATGGTTCTTTTCGCATTGGATAGCAGGAACTGCAGTTTCCTTTCTGGGTGTGTTGAGCGTATACTTAGGACTACAAGCCTATGAAGAAAAAACATCAAAAAGTGTGACAGCTTGGAAGATACTTTTCACAGCTCAAATGTGTTTGATAGTGTTCTCGTACCTCTTTCAAGACAAATGGGTCTCTTTACATATTCAAGGACCAGTTTTGGATGGTGAACTGCAAACCCCTACTGCTCCTGAAATCTGTTCTGATGAAAATAAGCAGAAGGAATTGAAGCCTGAATCTTGTTGAAGAAGATAAAGCAATTTTAATTGTCACAACATTTTGTGATTCCACACATGCTGGACATGAAAACAGACCTTCCACAAAGTTTTGGCACTTCATAGTATGTTTAGTTACTTTGGCTTCTTCTATATTGGAAAAATGAGTATAAAACATGTAGAGTAATTATTGAGAGATTATTTAGAACTTCTATAGTTTTACCTTCTTCTTCTTCTTCTTCTTCTTCTTCTTCTTCTTCTTCTTCTTCTTTTTCTTTTTTCAAATTATGAAGCTCACTTGTAGTCAGTTCAGGTAGTACGTTGCAAGGGAATTAAAGTAACAACCAAAGCCAAGTTAAAATATGGATGCTCTTCAATGTGAGTTGATTCAGTCTTCAAAGCAAGAAAAAAAAAAATCAATTTAATAGCACTATTTGTAAGGCTCACTTTTGACATAACACGTTTATCTATGACTAATTCAGTCCAACCCATTATTTGTAGGTAGACTCAACATGAAATTCTCTCTTTCGTTGCAAGATGAAGGCTCTGAAGGCATTTGTAAAAGTGAATCACGATTTTCTCTGCAATTACGAATTGCTTACATTACTTTTAACCAGCCATTCTATAAAAATATTGCATCTGGATCTTCTAAAATGCAAATGTATATAATGCATTCCAAGAAAGATCACGAGGAAATTTTGAGCGTAAACATGTAATGTGAGTCTCAGACCATGTTACATTCTTTTGTGCTACTCTCTCTGTCCCACTACTAATATATGATTGATTGATTGCATAAATATAAGGAATCTATTTTTTTAAAAAAAATATATATATTTGAGGTCAGAGAAACTGTGATGTTAGGTTTCTATTGCTGTAGTTCGACCTTGCAAGTCTAAATACTCTGCTTCTTTTGGCACTTGGAAATCGAAAGAACATCTATTTCGCATGTGAACAAGAAGCCACTTGTTCTCCCGTCAGTCTAAAGAAGCTTCCTTCCAAGTTAAATTCAAAAACAAGCCAATGAATAATTGACACGCAAGCATGTAAGCGTACAAACATCACTTACATGCTTCCATGTTGATTTATTACTGGTTCACTCATACTTAATAGATCAAGTCTATTTAAGAATCTACGAAACTAGTGTTGTATTTTCTCTTATGCTCACTTGCTTAGTAAAAGGTGGTGTTGGTTTATTTTCGAGATTCAGGTTCGGAGCATCATGCCTCTGAAGGATTTGCCAGGCGTGCTAGAAGAATAGATCTTCAAGATGAGAGTTAAATCAAACGATTGTGAGTTTTGAAAGTCCTTTGTCACAATTTCCTTAAAGTGCCAAAGCTGAATAAGAAACCACGAGTATGCCAATTGATGCATGAGGTTTTATTGCATCATTGATAAGTAAGTACAAGTGCTTCATTAGGCAAAGAGAAAGATAAAGAAAATGGCCTAGAGAGTCTAAGCTATAGTGACAAAGAATTGTCAGGGGAAATTGGACTGACACTTGGTCAATTGTCTGAGTATTATGCTAGGCAAGTTGATTTGATTGAGTTGAATTTGCAGAGTGTTGAAGGAAAACTTATTTATAGAGAATGACAACATGCTCTTTCGAATTTGAACTTTGGTGCTAAAAGGAGTAGATGATTGGTCACTCTATTAAAACGTCAAGGGTGATTTGCATTGTGGGGAACGGTGAGGGTGAGCGTGCCGTGTTATTAGGACAATGGGGAGAGTGGGTGAGATTGGGTCGTTAAGCTCCTTAAATGCAGCATTACACTTAACTTCCCCAGGAATGGCCGGCTACTGGGCCTCCATTGTTTTTAAGTTCGAAATGGGCCTTGCTGCTTGTCTCTTTAGGCGCAGAGGGCCAAATTCAGTCCAAACATAAGGGAATTTACAATCACCATAACTATAAGACTAGAGGGAGAAAACAAGTGATAATCAAAGATATTCTATTATGTGGCCATTATATTATACAACATACATCATGGAAAAAGCTGTACATATCCAGTTAACACAGCAATTCCTAGTATTATAATAGGTGGAAGAATCACAAAAGCTCCTATGGTGGCAAAGAATACCGAATCATTCCTTTGAGAAACTTCATTTAAGTAAGCTTGTCTCCTTATATTTCTCTTTTGTGAAATGGTCAAGAACTTGGCACTCACTTTCTTCAAGTTTTTACCCAAAGGAATGCTGAAATCGTCGTCTCTGTCTCCTATCAACTGTGCAAGCTGCTCGCGGATCGTAAGTTTGCGAGAGCTGCCATCACTTTCATAACCTACAACCAGAAATGGCTCCAATATCATTATTCTTTTACCAAAACATTAAACAAAGAGAAACCAAATTTGAGTAAGTGGACAAGAGTGAGAATTTCAACCATTTCTCTTGCTTTTGTAAGGAAATTTGATTTTATCTCAAAAGCCATTGACTTTTGACATATTAAGTTCCCTTGGTGTCACTTAATTTTTAACCGTTCTAAATAGTTATTGTTCTACTATATCACTAAACATGCTATCAAAACTACAAAAGTTATACTATTATAACCTTAGTATGGAAATCCAGGTCAACCCGTTTGATTGAACATGTAAACCGTCAAATCAATATCTTAACCGACTTAATAAAATGTTTTGTTTATCATCGGTTTGATCAAGGTTCGACTATGATTTTAACCATTAGCCCTTGAGCATGTGTCTTCACTTGTTCAATGACTAGCCCGATTTTTTATACCTTAACTATAACCATATATTATTTCAGAGTTTGGTCTATGCATGACAAATGACTGAAATTTGAAACACAATTGACACGAGGTTGTTAGTTTAGGCAGTAAAAGAAGAAAGTATCTCTCCTTATCGACATAGGTTCAGCTCCAATGGAGCGTAAAATCTTGAATTTGCAAAGAAAAATGACATAGGAGTAACTTTAGTTTTAGGCACTATCCAAAGACGTCTCAGATCCTAGTACCTAAAAACAAAAAAATGGGGAAAATGTTCAAGATGACTTCAAAGTAAAGCTCCCTTCATTTTGCATTTTACTTAAATGGCAGAAACTTGATCTTTACAGCTCTTGGCCTCTGAAATTTTTTCCCTTTCAAGTTTTAATATTGGTAAGTATCTTCTTAAGGCATGTGTGTATTTTTGCACCTCTCATTGATTTAAGATGACAGTTCAGAAAAGGATCGTTTCAACATGAATAATATGACATTACAAAACCAGAGGACAATCAATCTGTTTTCCCCTATACGTATCATTCATATAAAGGAGATAGTAATTTACATACCACTGACTGATGAGCTAGTTGATGTAAGTTGCTCCAAGAGACCAAGCTGTGTGCGGGCCGAGGACAAAGATCCTAACGATATAAGTCATAAAAGAATATGAGGGACTTCTGTGAGATGGCATGAATAAATCCACTCAATAGGATTCAGGACATGAACTAACTGATTCGTATGACCAGCCAAAAACATTAAGAAGCTCTGAAGCTTGATGATGCAAAAAAGAATAGCATGAAATTTCCAGTAAAAGATATATTTTTCTTTGATTAGAACTTCAGAAACAATCCTTGTAAATACATCTAGCATATGACTCGCTGAAATTCAATCAAACAAATTCCAACATCAATTGCTCCCTCTTTTTCCGCCGTAGAGGTGTTTGTGTAAAGCTCAGTCACAGAATCCAAATCAACAAGTACTTTAGTAGAAACTCAGAAACATGGATAGATGAAGCCACGAGACTAACCAATGAAAAAGAAAAGAACAGAGAAGGATACTCAAAAGAAGAACATAAAGCTGATAGATATTCTGCAACTTAGCAGCTCACTTGAAAGTTCACGCCCAATCCATAAAACCAAGATTTTGAATTCAACCCGAAAGCAAACAAATCAATGGCATACCAGTAGGGGAATCTTCCTCTGCAACTCCAGCCTCAGTCCCTTGTGACTGAGCCTGAGTTCTGGTTGAAGAAGAAGAAGGGTAGAATTTGAGGACGGAATTACGTTTCCTGGCAAGAAAGGAAGGTTTTGGGTGAAGAGAAGCGGTGGTACTGAGATTGACGGCCATGGGGCTATGCTTCATGCGAGGTATGAAGTTGTGATTCCCATAGATTCTGATTTCGCTTTGAGGTTACGAATCGAATTCCCATATTTTAAATTGGCCTGTAAGTATTATTTCTTACTGGTCTCAGAATAATTGAGAAAAATCAGCGACTCACGCCACAAATATTGATAGGTTTACATTATATTCGCTGTTTCCAGGTGATTCGCGACGATTAGTCCATTCTCAACATGTCGTTAAGTATGCACGGCTAAGAAGATGATCATGTCTAATATCTAATCTAATTTATTACCATGATTCGTGTTTTCAAGAATATAATATTTGTTTAGTTATAAATATGACATATTTTCTAAAAATTTCTTTTCTAAAAAAGAATTGTATTTAATTATAAAACTTTAATCCTTTAATTTGGTACCAAATTTCATTTTAATCACTTAATTTTATGAAATATATTTTTAATCATTTAATCTCAATACTTTTAGTTTCATAATAAAAAAATTTATAATAAACTTATAAATATTAATAAAATATTCTCAAATATTAACATATTTAATTTAATTTGTTTAAATAATAAGATTAGTACAAAAAATAATTATTTAAAATTCACAATATTAGGATTAAAGGATTAAAAAAATATTTTATAAAATTAAGAGATCAAATTAAAATTTTATATAAAGTTAGTAGATTAAAAGTACATGTTAACCTTAATTAAATCATATTTTAAAGGACAATTTATTTATCATTAACAGTTTAAAGAATAATTGGTTTTTATCAAAGTTTTCAAAGAATATAAGAATAAATCTCATGTCTAGTTAGAAATATTTGTTGGTAAAAAAAAAAGTCAATTAATTACCAATAGGAGTTGAATATAATGAAAGGAGTTAATCTCTTACAACATAACGAACAAAGATTTGAATATCTATTGAAAGAGGTATTCATATTTAGTACCCGATTATACCTTTAATATGATTGCCTCTTATAGAGAATATACATGAGTAACTAACAAAATATTGATGATTAATTATCTTTGAATTAATATATCAATGCAATTATGTATTATAAAATTAACTTAATGAAAAATTAATCATTCAATCCCTATAATTTTAACTCAATTATTATTCAATTTCTAAACTTCAACTTTTTATAACTTGATCCTTTATAGTTTTAATTAGGTTGTGACTGAATTTTTGAACTTTGACTTAATATCATTTTCTATGATTTCAACAATTTAAAATATCAATTCTTATATTTTAAAAATAAATTTATAAGAATTAAAATTATTTTAAAACTTATGTACTAAAATTTTAGATTAGTAAAATTTTTAAATTGATTTACTCAGAAAATATGTTAAATCCTCTTCATGTCTTTTTTAGAATTTGTTTGGGGAAAAAAAAGGGAGAGAAAATTATAATTAAAAAATCAAAGAAACTTGTTCTTTCATTGAATTCGGGAGCCCACTGTTTGTAGACCTATGTGTTTAATTTTATTTTCTATTTCTGGCCCAAACTTTTTGGTTGGGCATTTTTATGTGTTGTAATAATGACTCGTTTTATTCGCTATTCCTTCTATTTTTACTGCATTTTCTTTCCCCGTTTATTTTCTTCCAATTCTAAACCGAGTGTTAGAGTCCAATTGCAACAAAACCCAAATCAGAAACCGCCAGTGTAAGAAAGCACTTCCTAGGCCATTTATAAATAATATGTACCATGATAATAAAATCAAAAACGGGTAAAATATATGTATCATGATCGAAAAACTTTAAACCAAATAGAATAATAACATACATCTTTACCATTGCCAAAAACTCCCTATCATGATCAAAGAGTCTACCATCATAGTAAAAAATCGACTGGCTAATCAAAAATAAAAAGTTGCTTTTTGCCAAATAGGAATATCCCCAAAATCAACTCCGATCACAACCATGTCATCAAACATCATCATATAAATTCACGGATTTGGATCCCATGACTATAGCAACTAAAGTCATTGAGTGACTTTACCATGTGACAAAATCTAGGCTCTCTATTAAATCAATAGTTTGAATAATTTTGTTGCAATCAAAATTAGGAAATACTCAATCAAAATCCATTCAAATCTCTTAATTAATACCGTGGAATAAATTTTCAACCTATCTCTTAAAATTCATAACTTTTTTAAATAGTGCTATGTTGTTGTTCTTCTCCAATCAACTGCCAGAGTGTTTTTTCGGCTAACAAGGTGGAGTCTTTTTCCGAGCAGTGCTCTATTCTTATTTGGCATAATCTGAGGTGATCTTTTTTGTGATTTATTTATTTTAATCTTTTTTATTATCAATTTTTTGTTTTGGATTGCTTCCTCTTTGAACATTCTTTATTTTTTCTATTGAATCGAAATATGCTTGCTTTCTATATAGCTTTTTTATTGAATTAGAACGGTGCTATGATGACAGAAATTTTGATGCTTTTTTTATTTTATTTGTTTAAGGAAACCGACTCAATTACCACAAGTGTTTTGATATTATCTAGATTTTAGCAAACATTCTGCTTCTTCTGGCATTATTTTGATATTAAGGTATTCTGCATATTTTTGTTTGATATCGTTGCTTGTTTTGTATTATTATATGGATTTGGATTTTGCATATTGTCATATTATATTCTGCATATTTTTATGTTACACTATTATTGTTTATGAAGGATTGTAGCAATATTATTATATTATTGTTTTTTTCCCTTCGTGGGTTGCTCAATCTCATAGGAAATGGAGGAAGATTTTATGCCAACAATTGGCAAGGAATTTGATAGTGTAGAAGAAGCATGGAAATTTTGGCTAGACTATGGAAAGAAAGTTGGATTTGGAGGAAGAAAACATAATATGACAAAGAGCAAAAAGGATGGAACTACTGTAACATCAGGTAGATTTGTTTGTAACAAAGAAGGTTTGAGACAAGAAAAAGATGATTTTATACCTATTAAGTATCGAGAAGAGACCCGAACAAATTGTGAAGCAAAAATAGGATTTACTCGAGTGAATGGTAAATACAAAATAAATCTCTTAGTTTTGGAACGCAACCATGAGCTACATATTCAAGAAACTGTGCACATGATGCGGTCACAACAAAAAATACCTAAAACACAATGTGACCAAATTGGATTGGTTGAAGATGCTGGGATTCGACAAAAGGCTTCATTTGAGTTAATGAGTAAACAAGTTGGTGGAAGAGAAAACCTGGGCTACACAAGGTTGGATGTGAAAAATTATTTGAAGTCTAGAAGAGAAAAAACATGTGTTATGGAGAAGTAGGATGGTTAATAAAATATTTTCAGAAGCAATTTAAAGAAAATCCATCTTTTTACCATACTTACCAAATGGATGCTGATGAACAGATGACAAATATTTTTTGGGCAGATGCAAAAATGTTGATTGACTATGCTTATTTTGGGGAGGTTGTATGTCTTGACACCATGTACAATACAAATAGAGACCATCGACCACTAGCTATATTCTAAGGCTTTAATCACTTTAGAGGAGTGATTATATTTGGGGCAGCCTTATTATATGATGAGACCATGGAATCTTTCAAATGATTATTGGATACATTTTTAGATACACACAATGACAAAAGGCTAGAAACAATTTTTACAAATCAAGACCAAGCAATGGCTAGAGCTATAAGAGAAGTTATTCCAAAAACAAAGCATTGCTTGTGTGTATTTTACTTGGAACAAAATGGCATAAAACACCTAGGAAATTTAATGAAAGGAGGATCACGGTTCTTAGCTGATTTTAACAAATGCATGTTTGACATAATCGAGGAAGCTATATTTGAGAAAGCATGGGGCAATTTGCTAACAAAGTACAATGTGCATGAAAATGCTTGGTTGACATCTATGTATAGCATAAAGGAGAAGTGGGCCCACTGTTTTAATAAAAATACAAAGACATTGGGTATGCATAGTACTCAAATGAGTGAGAGTTTGAATGCAGATGTTAAGAGTTGCACAAAACCAGAGCTAAATATTGAGCAATTCTTCCATCACTTTGAACATGTTATTGTTCATAAGCGATATAATGAGCTACAACGTGAATTTGATTCACGTGAGAAGATTCCGTGAATGATCTCTCAAAATTCTACCATGTTGAAATAGCTTGTTCAAGTTTATACCCCCCTATATTTACCAGATTTCAAGCTCAAGTAGACATACTTTTGGCCACAAAAATTAAAGAGAGAGAGGAAATTGGGGATATTCATAAATATGTTGTGGAAGTGGTTGGTAAAGAGGGAGAATGGGCACTTGAATTCAATCCAAACACTTTGTCTACCTCATGTAGTTGTAAGATGTTTGAACGTGTTGGTATTGTATGTTGTCATGTGTTAAAAGTATATCAAGCAAGAGATGTGATGTATTTACCAGAGCAATGTATTCTAAAGAGGTGGACAAAATATGCACGAGATGGTGTTGTTCATGACATACATGGAAATGAAGTTCAAGGTGATCCTAAATTAGAAAGTGCACGTCGATATAGAGATCTTTGTACTCAGTTGGTTAGATTAGCAGCTGAAGTGTTTGATTGTCCGGATGCATGCGAAGTTGTGCAAAAAGGAATTAAAGAACTATGTGACAAAGCAATGAAGGTTCGATCAGGTCATAATATTATTAATAATGAAGACGTTGAATTACAACAATTGGATTCATTCACTTTACCAAAGGGTTTTAAGAGGCGAGAAGGAAGAAAGAGAAAAAACAGAATGCAAAGTTGGCCTCAACGTGAGCTAGGAAAAAATAAAAGAGTTTTTATATCAAAAAAAGACGTAACAAAACAAAAAGGAGCCACATCAAAAATGGCAAAAGAAACAAACAAGGTTTGATCAAACTATTTGTTTTGAGTTTTTATACTAGACTTATTGTTTCTCTATTATAGGAAGCTCAACCACAAGAGGAGATAATGGCTCAATGCTCAGCACCTCCTATGCCGTATACACCACTTACCCCTCCCATGTCATATATAATAAGTGGAGTCTCTCAACCTTCTTTTACAAGCATGTTGATGGTACAAGATAATAAGAGTACATTTCTTATTTTGTTCACTTTATTAATAAAATGCTAAAAATGATTTCCTTGTTGCTTTTGTAGGCACAACTTGAAGCTCCATTACTATCTCTTG